TATTTTTTCATTGATGGCCTTCATAATTCTGGGATTCACATTTAGGTCTTTAATCCATGCTGAGTTGGTTTTTGTATAAGGCGTGAGGTAAAGGTCTTCTTTCAATCTTTTGCATATCGCTTTCCAGAGAATCACTTTTAAAACTACAAATCTTATCAAAATAAAAAGTGGTCTAGAAGACAGGCCTACTAGTGTGGCACTGTAGGATCAGCACTCAGAGAGATCTACTATAGTTGCAGAGTAGGAGATCTGGTAGCATAGTGGTTACGAATCGGGCTGCTAACCTTCAAGGTCAGCAGTTCGAAACTACCAGGTGTTGCGTGGGAGAAAGATGAGGCTTTCTGCTCCTGTAAAGATTTGCAGCCTTGGAAACCCTATGCAGGGTCACTATGAGTCAGAACCAACTCCACGGTACTTAACAACAACAACATAGGGTTTCTGAAGTTATAAATCTTTACGTGAGCAGAAAGTCTTTTCTTTCTCCTGCAGGGTGGCTAGTGGGTTTGAACCACTGACCTTTTGGTTGGCAACCCAACACTTAACCTACACCACCAGGCCTCATCAATTGTCAGCCAGAAAGCACAAAGTAAAAGCACACAATAACTTTTTAAAAATTAAATGGCAAAAGCGAGTGCTGGTGAGATATGAAACAACAGGTGTAAGGGTGTAAGATAGAATGAAAAACTTACTTCAAGAGCTCATAATTCTTCTCATTTAACCTCACAGCATTCTCTCTCCAAAATTTCTCAGATTTGTGCACAGGACTCCATTCCAACCTTCCAGATTTAAGTTCGGAGCTGTATTCATCAAATGAGCTATAAAATGTTTAAAGAATTCAAGGTTTATAAGAATCTCACAGTTACTCCAAAATTAAACAAAACACAACATGCTCACTGACTAATTAATTACAAAGATTTGATCCTTTTATCCTAACACACTGCCACTAAAAAAAACTTAAACAGTTTAAATAATTTTAATAAATCATGTAAATTTTATTGCAATAAAAAAAAAACAATAATCTTGTAAAAAAAACAATAATCTTGTAAAATGTAAATGCTTGGTATAGGATATAAAAATGAGAACTTATTTCCAAACACCTTTATACTGCAAAATAATAGCACTCACCATCTCTCTAGAGCACTCTACTTTTCTGTTAGGTTTTATGACTCACTGAAATATCTGTACAGAACTCAGACACCATATTCACAGTTATCAGGTTTATTAGGGAAGTTGTTATTGTTATTCTTGCTAACAAGTTATAGTTCTGGGCACAGTTCTTCCAATCAGGAAACTCTCTCCTCTGCTATGTCCACAAGCCTCTCTCTGGCCTTTGACACCTTTGACAGCTCAGCCCTGCTCCACCCAGCAATGTTACAAAGCTCTGTTAGGGCTGCTGATAAATAAATGTCCACAGAGCACACCACTCTACCACAAACCTCAGCCTGAAGGCACTCAGCAAATCCAGCTTCCCCACTTAAGTGTCTGGAGGCACCCCACTCTGCAAGCAAGCGTCCTGTCCTATTTGCTGTGCAAACTGGGAAGCCCATGCTCGGTCTCATGCTCGGTCTCATGCTCTAGCTCTTGGTTCTGATGCTACTGTTCTTCTAGCACTCCTTCAGTTTCACAGCTTTCTGTTCTTGGGCCAAAGAGGTTTGATGCACAGGGATCTCAGGGTCCAAAAGAAACACTCCACTCCTGGCTCTTCTGTGTTGATAGCTGTGAGACTCCCCCATTTCCATTCATCATGTGGGCTCAGGTGATCACCAATGAGCATACCACACACACTGTTGCTTGCTGGCTCCCTTTAACTTTCAGTATTAGAAAGAGGATTTCTCAGATGGGCACAGACTTTTCCTGCCTTGATGCATACAATGGCAAACTGCTTACTTGAAATTAAAAATGCCAAAGTCATTTTCCCCCCTTTGCAGTTCTTTCAAACAAACATAAATCATCTATTCTCTCACCAGTTCTGGGTGGGGCTCAAGTTTCCTATTTAAGCCCCAATACTCTAGATTCAGGAGCTCTGGTAGGATTGTTGTTGTTGTTGTTAAGTGCCATCGAGTCGGGTCCGACCCATAGCGACCCTGTACAGGGTTTCCGAGGGTGTAAATCTTTACGGGAGTAGAAAGCCTCATCTTTCTCCCGCGGAGCGGCTGGTAGTTTCGAACCACTGACCTTAAGGTTCGCAGCCCGATTCGTAACCACTATGCTACCAGAGTGGTTACTAAATTGGGCTGCTAATCTCAAGGTCAGCAGTTGGAAACTACCAACTGTTCTACATGAGAAAGATGAGGCGCTCTTCTCCCATAAAGATTTACAGACTTGGAAACCCTGTGCGGGGGTCACTATGAGTTGGAACCAACTCCATGGCACATAATCATCACCACCACCACTCTATATTCAAGTTATTGGCTTATAATAAAGCTTGTTCCTTCTGTGCAATTCCTAAATCCACTTTTAGTATATCCAATCAAGTATAAGGGAGTCCAGGTGGCACTGTAAGATAAGAACTGGACTGCTAACTGCAAGATCAGCCATTCAAACCCCCCAATTGCTCTCTGCAGGATAAAGATGAAGCTTTCTGCTCTCATAAAGATCTATAGTCTCAGAAATCCTATGAGTCACAAAGAACCTGATGGCAATGAGATGAGTTTAGTTGAATCAAGTCTAGGCTGAAGGTAGAATTACAAGATCTCTGTAATCATGATACCCAATATTCATTTATATTACACAAGTGCCCAGGGCAATGGACTCTAGCTGGCAAAATGGATCAAGTAGGCCCTGGCCCCACTATCAGCTGTCTTGTTTATCCAGCTTGGCTTTTGCCCCAGGTGATTCCAGTAGCAGCTTTTCTCCCCTTAGCTGCAGCATAACAACACTTATATTCCTTTTAGCCATTATAGTTAACAACCACCAGGCAAGACTTATAAGAACCAAAAATTTTACTTCCTATATTCCTCTGTTCTTTCTCTTATAAAGCCCATGTTCCCTGAATCTAGAACCATTGCAATGAATCCCACTCCCAACACCAGCTGTAAAAATGGCACCAGCCATCCATCCCACAGTACTCTCCTTCTCATCTGGGTTTCACAATTCACTGGAATGGCCACACAGAATTTCAATATATTGTTACCAAATAATAAGGAGAGAGTGCTGTGGGAGGGATGATGCTTGGTGCCATTCATAATATGCATAAGTAACAATCAATAAAAATATCTGATAATATAGTAGCATTTCACCAGGACACTTGAATTATTGTATTTACATTTATGTAAAATCAAAGAACTTGAACATAAAACATCTTGTAATGCTTATGTTACAAATATCAAAAACAGCAATACTACATTGTAAAATGAGAAAAAAACTCAAGCATCAATACAATAGTTTATGTGATTACCAAAAAAGAGAGAAATCATTCATTGATTTACTGGTAGCATAGTGGTTACAAATCGGGCTGCTAACCTCAAGGTCAGCAGTTCAAAACTACCAGCTGTTTCGTGGGAGAAAGATGAGGCTTTCTGCTCCCGTAAAGATTTACAGCCTTGGAAACCCTGTACAGGGTCACTGTGAGTCCAAACCGACTCCATGGTACTTAACAACAACAACATATTTATTTAAAACAAAATCCTCTGTACAAATAACTGCAAAATAATTTTTCAAAATTCATTCTGCTTAGAGTAATAATTTATTACTCAGGGGCAGCAGCAATGGGCTCAAGCATTAACAACAATTGTAAGGATGGCACAGGATCAGGCAGTATTTCATTTTGTTGTATGTAGGGTCGCTATGAGTCTAACAACAACATCTAACAAAAACAATCAATGCTAATGGAAGCAGCAGTCAGGAAATCAAACAACACATTACATTAGACAACTGCTGTAAAAGACTTCTTTAAAATGTTAAGGAGCACAGATGTTACTTTGAAGACTAAGGTGTACCTGACTCAAGTCATGGTATCTTCAATTGCTCGTCTGCATGTGAAAGTAGGACAATGAATAAGGAAGACCAGAGAAGAATGGATGCATTTGAATTGTGGTGTTGGAGAATATTGAAAGTATCATAGATTGCCAGAAGAACAACATATCTGTCTGTTAAGAAGTACAACCAGAATATCCTTTAGAGGAGAGGATGATAAGACTTAAGTCTCTTGTAATTTCAATATATTGTTAGGAGCATAAGTCCCTGGATAAGGACATCAGCCTTGGTAAAGTGGAAAGTCAGTGAAAAATAGAAATACCCACACAAAATGGAATGACAAAGTAGCAGCAACAATGGACTCAAATATATCAAATATACCTATGTAAGATAGCATAGGACCAAGCAGTGTTTTGTTTGGTTGTGCATAAAGCTGCTGTGAGTTGGAACTGACTCAACAGCATATAACAACAACAGTGAGCCTGTTTTTTTTATAGATTTAGTTAATTTAAAGAAAAGGCATAACATTTTTGTGAAATCCTCTGATGTTTAAAGTTGATAACAAATTGAGACTTTCTTAAGACTACGCAAGTCCAACTAGGTCAATGGATCCTGGTTATGTGAATTAGAGAGTAACATACCTAAGATCTTGGACACTCTCACCAAGTTTTTCCAAGAGAAATTTTATATCTTCACTGATATCTTCATCATCGTATTTCTGCTGTTCCAAGTTCTCCAGTTGTTTCAATACTTTGCACTGAATCATAGCCAAAGCATACTCTTGTCGAGTTTCTCTCTCAGTCGATTTTTCTAAAAAGTTCTGGGTTAGACAAAGAGATAATGAGAAAAAATTATTTATTACATGATGTTCTCAAACCTCTTCACTTTCTTTTATGCCCTCTCTTTTTTCTATCCTTAGGTTTAACTATCATCTTTAAATGGATGACTCTGTACTTCGAACCCTACTTCTTTCCTTGACCTCCTCCCCTAGATCAATATGGCATATTAAACACTTTTCAGTAGTGACCTACAAAGGTCTCAAAACACTGAACATGATTACAACTATCACAATCTTTCTCACAACCCTTCTCCTGAGCTTATCCCAGTGAGCGCTCCATTTTTTGGCCTCTAGAGCACGTAGACTAAGGAAAAGTGTTTCTTCAACTACCTCTCTAGTTTCAAATTTCCTCCAACTCTAATCAAACTATAAGTACACAAAGGACAGCAATAAAAATTCACTTGCTTAAACAATTATCAGAACACTTTTGTGATATTTAGGTACTTTCTAGTCTTCTGTGACTGGCACTGTGGGTTAATGTGTCAGACTGCAAAGCCATTTGAACTGCAAGGTGGGTGGTTCAAGCTCATCAGGAGCTCCTCGGAAACCCTATACTGGGTCGCTATGGGTCGGAACCGACTTGATGGTACTTAACAACAACAAGCAGTCTTCTGTGATGTTCCTTTTCTGCGAGTACTTATCAAGACAGTAGAGGGAACAACAAACAGGAAGATGCTCAAGGAGTTGGACTTGACACTGTGACTGCAACAATAGACCAGCTATAGGAACAACTGTGAGGATGGACCAGGCCCCGCAGTGTTTTGTTGGGCATTACACAGAGTCACTATGAGTTGGAAATGACTCAACAGCACCTAACAACAACAATGTAGACAGCAAAGGAATCCAAGGACTTCTAAAGATAAACTGTTCATTGAATTAGCCAATATGTCAATATAAACCATCCTAAGTCCTAGGGACAAGAACAAACTGGACAGGCACCTTATTCTTGAAAAAGTTACCTTCCCTATTTTGGTAAGGAAGATCTGTCAAATGCCAAAAAATCCTGCTGCTGTTGCTATTGTTAAATGTTGTTGAGTCAGTTCTGATTCATAGCAACCCTATGTGTGGTTTCTAAGGAGTAGCTTGTAAATCTGAACCACCGACCTTCTGGTTAGCAGTCCAGTACTTATTCCACAGTGCCACATCAGGACTAATAACTCCAAATCAGCAGGGCCAAAACTTGATCTTTTTAAAATTCCTGCCTACTGCTTATACTCCTAACAATCATGGCATCTAAATGCAGAAAGATGTAGCTTGGCATTTGGAAATTAGTGAGATCAATGCTCAACATTCTTCCCTTTATGTTCCCAAAAGATCTTAAGCATCTAGAGATTAGTAAGGATGTCTTATTCATTTGTATACCTTTAGGACATAGCTAAATATCTGGCTCTGGTTGACAGTCAATAAAATATCTGCAAACTTAGTCTTCCTCCTCAGTGCTTATATCTATAAATATTACAAATTATTTGTAATTGTTTTTATTATAAACAGATCATGCATGGAGTAGCAATGTGGGTGTTTGGTGTCATCCAGTTGATTCCGACTCACATCAACCTTATAGACACCAGAACGAAACACTGCTTACTCTTGCATCATCCACACAAATTGTTAGGTTTGAACCCATGGTAAAAAATGTAATTAAGTTGTGCTATTGCTACTCCACTGCCACTGGTTGCAACAGTGGCACACAGAGTAGCAACAGCATAGCTAAATTACTTTTTTTTTTTTTTTTAATGATTTATTGTGAATTATGTGATAGTTTACATTAAATTACTTTTGTTGAGAATTACTCCAAATCTATAGAATGAACTTCCACTTTGGGTATGATGGATTAAGATCCTACTGGACGAATCCCTCTCTTGCGAAAAAAACAACTATAAAACCTGGTATATTCACCACGAGAGACAAGAAATGAAACCATAAAACAAAGCTAAAATTTCAAAGGACTGAAATCCTATATTCTCAAAACCATTCAATTCCATTAGAAACCAGTAAATTGTCTAGAAAAAAAAAAAAGTATTTAAGAATTAGAAAACTGTACAACTGTATATAATCCATGGAGCAAAAAATAATCACAGTGAAAGGCACTAGTAAGGAGCTCTGGTAGAGTAGTGGTTACGAGTTGGGTTGCTAATCTCAAAGTCATCTAGTTCAAAACTACCAGCGGTTCCATGGGAGAAAGATGAGGCTCTCTGCTCCCGTAAAGATTTACAGCCTCGGAAACCCTATACAGGGTCACTATGAGTCGGAACCAACTCCATAGCACACCACCACCACCACCACCACCACCATCTTCACTACTAGACTATGAGACTTACTAATAAGTCACTACTAGATGTCATAGATTATTTTTCATTCCTTTCTAATTCTCAGCTTCTGGTTATGACTAGTCTACAAGCTATACTTTCTAGCAGAAAACCCTGATTTTCTAGTAGACGAATTCCTTTCTCAATTCTTAAAAACTGTACAGGGGGTGGCGGCAAGATGTTGCACTACGCAAAGAAAGGTTGTTCATACCCTCTACAACGAAAATATGGAAAACCAAATGAGACAGATACTGATGATACTCCTGGAACTCTGTGCTTCAGATGAAGAGACAGAGAAGTGGACTGAATACCTACTAGGAGGGAGAGCTAAGCAGACACCAAAAAAGAGAGAAACTGCTGACCTCTGCTGGCAGACAGAACGCCGCAGTCATCTTGAGCTTCTGTGAGCAGCTTTACAGACAAGTAAACATACTGGTGTTGCAGAAAGCTACCTGTGGCTCACTGAGATAAAGGTGTGTTGTTGTTGTTTCTTGTTCCCCACCACACTCCCCTGGTGACCTGGTGAGGACGGCACACACTTGCATACACCTCTAGGAAGCTCTGGATCTCTCAGTGGTCAGAGATGCACTGAACTGAGGTGAGTGCAGCAGTTGTGAGCCTGATTAAAGAAAGGGGAAGCTATACGTATTAACCCTACTTGGGTGGGCCCTGCTCCAAAAGTGCAGTCAACCATGGCCAGTCCTGGACTAATACTCACTAGGAGAAGCAGCTGAACAAGCAAGTGGGGTAAGGAAAAAAGGGAAAAAAGAAAAGAGACGGGTGATCTGTGGGCCATCCAGGTACAGCGTGGCCATCTTGAACTGTTGCCAAAGGCTGTGAGGGCAAGAGGGCAGTCTGTGGCACACAGGCATACAGCTCACTGGTGGAGAGAAAGCTGCTGCCTGCCTTGTTTTCCACTACTATTTTATTTTTGGCTGTTTGCTGGTATGTTCGTTTGTTTGTTTTCCTTCTCTCTTAGGTGTGTGTTTTCTCCTCTTGCCTCAAACAATAGGAGACAGCAACAGCAGTCATATAGCCCACCCACCATGGTACCTTCTAAAAGCCCCACCAACTGGGCTAGAGTCTATACCAATCGCTGGATCAATGACAACAACCAACATCAGCTAAATCCACCCTGAACTGAACAGCATGAATAGCTAACAGAGAGTGGCATATAAGTGCATCTCTCGATCACACCCACCAGGAGTCATTTGGTAGTTATTGTTGTTAGGTGCCATCGAGTTGGCACCGACTCATAACGACCTTATGCACATCAGAAGGTAACATTACCCGGTCCTAGGACAACTTCACTATTGTTGCCACGCCTGAGCCCACTGATGCTGCCACTTAGCCAATCCATCTAACAAGGGGTCTTCCTCTCTTTCTCTGACCCTCCACCTTACCAAACACAATAACCTTCTCCAGCAACTGGTCCCTCCTGACAATATGTCCGAAGTATGAGAGACAAAGTTTGGCCATCCTGGCCTTCAAGGAGCACTCTGGCTTCACTTCTTCCAACACAGATCTGTTGGTTCTTTTGGCAGT